TTTTTTTTTTTTTTTTTTGAAGAGAGGCATAGTTTGTCTTGTAAACTATGTTTTTACCTGACTGATTTCTGTCAAGGGTACCAGAGGGATGTGGGTTTGTGTTGATTCTGAACTAAGACCAGGGCTGCCTGAGTCCACAGGTGTGTCTCCTGTAGATCCAGATGACTCCCAAGTTTCCTCTGCTGCCCTGGACACTGAGGGAGCCGAATGAGTCTCTTCTATTCTACAAAACCCTAAACAAACAGAGGTCTTTTAACAACCCAAAGGAATAGCATTATGATAAATTAAACCAGTTACTTTTTAATAGTACACTAGATGAATCATGTATTGGAGTTGGTTTGTACTAGGAATTTGTACATCTGTATTAATGCACAATATAAAGCAAAAGTATTCCTTAGCTTTTTCTCCATGTGCCCAGGCTAAGTGGAAGGTGCTGGTACCTCTTGTGTCCCCCCGTGTGGCAGGCACTGGGAGGAGAAGGGTGTGGGGCCATGGCTTCTGTGGATGCCGGGCTGGGGCAGTCAGCAGAAAGCTGGCAGTCCGTCACAGTTACAACTGTGGTTTCTAGCTTTGGGGATCTGATACCCTGCAGCTTGTCCACCTCAGCTTCAGCTTGGCTAGCTCAGGGTCCACAGATGTGTTCATTGGAGATGGGTGTTTTGAAAACCAGAGAAACATTAATTTTTAAAACTATATGATGACATAATTCTTCCTCAGATTATCTCCATTGACAATATCACTTTGCCTCTTCTCATCAGAGGCTGATTCACCAAGAAAGACCCCTCCTGTAAGGTTGTGTCATCCAGCTTAGAACTCAAAGCTATACAAGGCTTTTGATCTCCTAGGATATTTAATTTGCTTGTAACCCCTGATGTGGCCACATCATAAGGCAAGATTAGATTTTCAGAATAAAAGAAATGCATACATTTTTCCAGCCATCTAGTTCAGTCATTTTTGGATAAAGCGCATGGATGTGTTTGTACTGGAGGTAAATGGAGAGTTTTGTGTGCCCTCTGTGTGTGTGTGTGCACAGGCATGTCTGCATAAGTACTTGTGTATGTGACTTAGGAGACCTTGTTTACAGCAAGAAGGTTGATAAATTGGGACCTTCCAGCAGGCCACTTGGAGCAGCGTCCCCCACCCCTTCACCCAGTCTATACAGTACACAGTGTGGATGGCCGGGAGCAGTGTCCTCCCCCTCTTCAACCAGTCTACACAGTGTAAGTGGCCGATACACGAAATTTCTGTGTTTTCTTTTTTTTCTGTTGTGTCTTCACAAAGTGTTTTCACATATGAAAAGAATGCTTCATTTCTTACCATTCTCCAAAAATTGATACTGACCACATTTTTGCTTGAAAAAGAAAAGCTTATTGGTTTTGTATTTTACAAGTAAAAAATAAAAAGCAAACAAAAATAGTTCATAGTTTTACCACAAAATAACTGTCACCAAAAGGTACTAATAAGGGGTCGATATGCATATAGTTAGAAAGTGTGATGGTTAAAAAAAACACCTGTCAGAGCCACCGCTCCTCCCTGCGCTCTCTTCCCACCTGGGGACAACCACAGGCATTTCTGGAGGCATTTCTAGGAAAGAAGAAAGGAAGGGGCCAAAGAGAGAGAGAGTGGGGATGTGGAGGGAGACTGGGTCTCCAGCACTCATGCATTGCAAAGTGCTCTGTAGCTTGCTTTCTTCACCTAGTGCTTTGTCCTTAGAGATCCTCCCATAATAACATATAAAGATCTACCTCATCGCTCTTAATAGCTGTGTAGTGTTCCATCCTCTCAAAGCACTATGATTTATGTGAATAGTCCCTTATTGGTGAACAATGCCAGTTTTTATTTTTATATACAAATCTATAATTAGCATCCTTGTACATATATCTTGGCATACTTTTGTGACTGTATCCTGGTATTAATTTCAACTTGGAATTGCTGGATTTAAGGTTATGTGCATTTAAAATGTTGATAGATCATCTTGCAGAAATGGATCGATGGATATAACCCCACCAAGAGTACCATGAAAGGGTCAGTTTGTCAGCTTTCTAGTACTGGGTATTTTCAAACTTATTTTTTTCCCAATCTAATTGGTGAAAAATGATATTTAGGAATATTGTTCTGGTTTTAGTTTGTGAGTGAAGTGGCACATCTGTTTTTTGGTAATTTAAATTTTTTAAAATTTATGTGTGATTTGGATTTTTCTTAATTTGTGCACTTTGGGGATATTTTTGTCTTATGCTCTGAAAAGATTTCTGTTTATCATTTGTCTTTTAATGTTATCTATTGATTTGCTTATTTATTGGCATAGAGAAAGTTTAAATTTGTATGTTATCAGTTTATCCATATTTTCCTTTGTAGATCCTTGGGTTCGTCTCCAGTTTTACAAAGCCTTCCCTCTTCTGAGATTATAAATAAACTTACTCATGTTTTCTTCTTAAACTTTATGGTTTCATTTGTTTATCTTTATATCTTCTAACTCCCTGGAATTCATTTATGGCAGGAATTAGAGGTAAAAATCTATTTCCCCCAATGGTGTTCAGTTGTGCCAACAAATATAAAATAAATGCATTTCTGTAATACAATTATAATCTCCCTACATGTTTAAAATGCCACACATACATACATACATATATAGGTAGACTATACTATACATACATATATATATATATATAAAATATATATAAGTTTCTTTATGTGTTTGGTTCTATTTCTGTCCTATTTATTAATGAATGCCTTTAATTTCTAAAGCTTCATTCACACTAATATTAGTATTTTTAAGGCCACACCTCTCAACTGTCTCCTCTCTCTTTCGTGTGAGTAATTTTTATAAATTGGGAGCATGATCTATTTGTACATTTATTGAGTCTTCCTGCTCAAGTCAGGAACACTACAATCTAGGCTTGTTTTCAAGTCTGATTTTATGGCACTCAGCAGAACTTTATGGTTTTGTTCAAGTCCTAGGAATTTATTACTTCCAGATGTTTCTAGATGTTTGGCTACCATTTTCAATGAGATGGTTTATTCTGCTTTATTATCTAACTAGATGTACAGAAAACTAGTTAGTGTTATAATTGACCTCAATAACTGTGATTTCTTATTGTTTCTGAGATTTTCTTTTGGCCCTTCCTTTCCAGCATCTCTTGCTTTTCCCTTTTATCTCAGTTACGTCTGGGAATGGTGTGAAGTAGCAGAGTTCCCACAGCATGCTCACGTGTCCTTAACAAGAATGGGGTGTTTTAGCACTTTGCCATGTCACTTGTGTAAAGACATATATTTTATTTGCCATAATAAAAAACCTATCTGTGTATTTTCAAATTATTAAGACTTTCTAGGAAAAATGTAGCTGTTAGGTTTTTGGCAAAACTTTCTCAGTATCCAGAGGAATTATCAAAACGTTTTTCCCTTTGCCTTAGTAGTATGTTTGATTATATTCATAGAATCCATAAGACCAAATCATTATATTCCTGACGTGATGCCTACTTGGTCTCACAAAGGTTGCTACCAATATTTAATATGCATAATTGGTATTAGTTATTTGATAGTTTGCTTTTGTGTGCTATTTCATCCAGATTTAATTTTATGCTTATATGAAAAATAAAAAATTATAAAATGAAACCACTATCTTCTACACCTCCCTATACTGACCACCTCCTTAAGTTGACCTAATTCTTATAGACTGAACATGCCATGCCCACATGGACATGTACATATCAGTACCTAGTTCCTTACAGTCACCACCCCTGTATGTTGACCAGTTTGCTACAATCCCATGGGTGGTCAACTAATGGAGTTCGATTGTAATTGGGTTTCTAAGTTTAGAACCATTTTCTGTTGAAGTACAGAAGAGCCACCCAGGGCTGTCTGGGTGTGCTCTGGTGTGTTTATGGACCCTCGCATTGAGCAGGTCCTGAGCACTTTGACATCAATTTTACTTACACATCTTTTAAGTAAAATTATTTGCATCCACTTTTACACATAGTTCCATAGCTTTGGAATATAGGCACTGTAGATTTTTAATTACCTCTGTATTTTTGATTATTTCTCCTTTTGTTTTTCATTTATCATTGTGTGCATTCTTCCTTTCTTCTGTGTTTATTGATTTTTTTTTTAATATGCTTAGACAGTGGACCCTTAAATTTACTCATGAGTTTGCGGAACTGGCTGTGGGGTCTGTGAAGCCCTGAGCTGGCCCAGACCAACAGTCACACCACTGTGAGAGGTGCTGCCTTCCCCAGCCTGGCTCCAGGGGACTGGAATGTGGCTCAGCCCTTCTCCTAGGCACTGGGAGCCAGTGGGGCAAACCAGGCAAGATAGACCTGTGGGTCACATGTAGCTAGTCACCTCTCACCAGGACCATAGATTAGTTGGAAAAAGGAAGTCCAGAAGGTTCAACTGGAGCCCTCTTGAAGTATAGGCCTCACGCAATTTAATTTTTTTCTCATTGTTTCATTCTTTGTGGTGCAAACCTTTCCCAGTCTGACCTTAACACTTACAGATCCTTGTCTAAATAATTATTGTTTACTTCATCTGCACGTTGGTTTGACCTTTAAGTGTCATAATTTGTCTTAAACTGAGGAAGGGGTCCCAAAGTCATGGCCTCCAGAGACTCTGCCTGCAGAACTCTCCGTGTCCTCAGCACCACCTGCCCCCCCCCCGCCCCCCCCATGGGAATCTCAGGAATGCTGAATGTGCTGGTCCCACCTCATTTCACCCTCCTTCCTCACCTCTTCTTGTCTGTCTCTCCACTGGCTCATTTTAAATCTTATGCTCTCTCCTAAACATAGTTTTTTTCTGCTAACAGCCTGTTACCCTTTCCTCCGCTGCTGTGTTAGAATTCTGTGAGTTCACCCTCTA